AGCTCTTGCCTCCCAGCTTCAACCAGCACTCGCCTTTTGAAACAAAAAGCTCGGTTCCAGAAGAGACAGTGTTTTTCCAAAAATCAAGTTCCAGAACAGACATTTACTCTCTACTCATTTTAAATCCGATAATTTTACAATAAAACAGCAATTCTGCAATTTTCACTATGTGAAAAGCGTTGAAGTGAGATTTGCAGCCGATTTGCACAGACGCACACTGATTATAAGTAGCCTACAGTAGAGAGAGTAATGTTGTTATATTAATAGTCAAAGGTAATAGTCAATTGAGAAGTGTATAGACCTAGTCAACGATACCACCTTCCATCGCATACCTGCCTCTTCCATAATTATTATCACCACAATACAACTACTATACATAATTTGCAGTAGGTCTGAATAGAAACGACCTAAAATAAAACGATAATATCCAATAAAATTCATAGTACACATAATTTAACTTTGTTGTCCTAACATCAAAACTAATCGTCATGCCTATCCTTTATATCAATTTCACTGCATTAATTGCTAAATAAATAAGTGTAAACAAAGAAAAGTAAAAACAATAACAGTTTGTTTTGAAACAGCTGTTTGGTTCAAATAACATTCATTTGAAAAAAAAAACTGGTCACATGTAGCAGGAATATAAAAAGTAAACACGCTAGTAAAGCTAATGACGTAATTGTCAATGTTTATTATCAATACCGTTTTCAGTTCCATCATTGATAATAACCCTCCCTCATTGAATAAATGTACATCGTAATTTCCCATATTAGTTAATTTAAACTACAATATATTCATAGTTGAAATAAAAGTGATATTTTCACGTTTGGGAGCGCTGATATAGGCAGCCCCAAACGTAACCACAACTGAACACGATTTCATAAAAGGATGGTTTGTCTAATTGCAGTATCCTAGGTCAATGTTGACGTTGTGTTCGATCTATGTCATCTATCTGTTTATCTTTGTATAAAACCCGGCTGAGGTTGTGGTGGTAATTTAAAATCGTGATTCCTGATTATTCTTCATCTTCTTTTTATGACATCAGTATTTCCGGGCCTAATCCAAACCAAGTTAAAGCAGACAAACATTAATCGTAAACAGAAAGCTACCATGAAGAATTAAAAAATGTAATATTGTTATTTTTATAATCTTTCCTTGAAAAGTGGAGCAGTAAAATAATTTGCATTTATCCTTTTTTATTAAGACTCGTGTACAGAGCCTCGATTTGTACTGTGGTTTAATTAATTTTGGTATAAACAATTTTAAAGTGTGGTCTAATTGTCTCTACTAATCTTATTTATTTCCTACAATCAGTGACAAAACGACAGTAAATAAAATAACCTCATAGTTCCATAGTTTTTATTTAACCAGCTGTTAAACAAATTATATTGCTCTAAAACAAATTGAAGATTACAAAGATTGCTTTAAAAAATAATTTGAACATCCTAGTATTTTACTATGGATATTTAATTAATCTGTCATCCTCTTACAGAAGAATTGAACGTATCAATGATTAGCATTACACATAGTATAAATAAGTCAACCCTAAGTATGTATTTACATTTTTATCCAAATGCTGAATTTGTGACACAAAAGCTGAATGTTTACAGCTGTTATGTTAAGCAAATTATTTTATGCCAAAAGCTAGTTTAGAATCTTAGCGTCGGCTGCTAGACTTTTTAAAAATTAAAACTTAATTTCTAAAAAACTGGGACCCTAAACTGAAATTATGGCTTCGACATTCCCTAGTTCTCAAAATTATATTTCTTTCAACACAAAAATTGTGAAAATCCGTCGAGTGATTGATTCAGAATCGTGAAATAAAAAAACACTATTTCGTTTTAATATTATAAGATAGATTAAAAATAAGTACAGAACAAATTGAAGAACAATCGGATCAATATCGTTGAGCATAATTTACCACAAAATGAGTAAGCAATTAGGGTCGCCGGAATCAGGCTAATGCACCATTGACTAGATACTGCAACTAGACATTTCATTTACGTAAACCAGACGTACCATTGACTTTGGACACTGTAAATAGAACTTTTATTTATGAGAACAAGATGACTTTGGATACTACAAGTAGACATACCATTTACGTGAACGAGACGTTCCATTGACTTTGGATACTTTAGGAGACATCTCATTTACGTGAACTTGATTTAGCATTGACTTATGTGGGTGATGTATAATTGCAGTATCATATGATACTGCAGTTATAAATCCCATTTACGTTAACCAGATGTAGCATTGACTTTGGAAAAGTATTGGATTAATATGCAATCTCCGCTCAATATTGCAAGCAGACAACTGCATTGTACCCCTAGTTGAAGTTTTATTCATAAGAAAGAAATCACATATTCAATTGTTCACAACTTTAAAATTTAAAATGACAAGTGATCTTTGAGAGCTTATACAAAAAAAGCCTTAGTATTTAATGTATTTGAATACTCCCTATAGTTGTGGCTAGGTAGGCTCACGTACATGATTCGTGCTATTCAGTATGCACAACTGTAAAGGCTTATATATGCAGACATATGTTGTATAATGACATGTTATTACTCACTCTATATGTAGCTAGGCATACTCACGTATATATTGGTGCTCATCTGTATGCACTACCTTGAATCTTGTATAGCAATAGAGGAGTAGTTTGCTATTTTAGAAGTGGAAAAAATTATTATAATTGAATAACAGAATAGGTTTTTGTTTGCTTATCATTATTTTAGCAGATTGAATTAAATTAATTTAATTAATTTATTAGAAATAGAAGATAATCGTTCAAATACTCCCTTCCGACTATCATTTAGATGATCAATAAAAATAGTAACATATTTACAATGACGCCAATATACCCAATTTTAAGAAAAAAAAACCTTGTAATATTGAATTACAGACCATACATGTAAAGACGGAATCCAAGACGTAAATCTTGTGAAATTGAATTTTATAACCCTTGTTATACTGTTTTTCAAATAAAATCCTTTTGCTTAAGTATGGAAAAAACTTGTTATGCAAACGAAATACAGATAACACCCTTGTAAGTCCAAATCTAAGGAAAAAAACTGTGTAATAATGAATTCAAGACAAAAATATTTGAAGAATGAATTATATACAACAAAAAATGAATTAGACAACTATATCATACAAACATACACGATTGAATTGAAGACTAAATCTCCGTAAAACCCAAGCAAAAACTCTTACAAAATCGAATTCCCCGCCTCGAAAGATACAATAACGAAAACGCGAAATCAGTTTGCAGTTTAATAAAGCTTATAAATTAGAAAATATTTCAACAAACAACCTTGAACAGGGTGGGTTTTGGAAACGTTTCTTTGGCTTATACATCATCACCCTGCTGAGCCGGTAATGAAGATGAATAGACCCTGAGGGGAACTCCCTTAACCTCCCCTGCCTCTAAATGCGGTTATAGACCTGGTAGTAACAGAGGGAAAATGTTAAGGACGAAAAGTAAAACAACGTTTAAGTTTAAGTATTTTTCGAACCACCTAAGCTTTATTATTGTCAGATTGCCTTGGTGGACTAGATAATTTATAAAATTTTAAAACTGGTTTTTACACATTTGCATTACATTATATTATTACTATTGTTTATCATTATTATTTTAGTTACATTTGCATTATTTTTATGTAAGTGAACGGTCCAACCCCTGGAGTTGTGGCTGTATGACGTCAACCTTTTGTAAAGTATCATTAATTGAAGGCTAAAAATTAAATAACCTATGGGTCCAGAAACTATCCATCCCAAAACAGCAGCCTTTCAGATTATAACCATCATTATAGATGGGGACGCGATCTAGGTGCTCATTTTAACCCAAATGAGTGTATAGCTTTGTTACTGACTAAGATTGGCTGTTTGATTATTCAGGATCTATATAATAATAAGCAAGCATGTTTCTTTATAACCTTTTTTTCTCAGCTTGTGTGCATCGCAGGGAGAATCTACGCATACGGTTAGAAAGATATTTTACTGTAGATGTGCAGAATCCCGTAACAAATTAAAATAGGCTCAAAAATAAACACAAAAATACATTTTTAATAAAAAAAATTAACATGGACCTTATGGGTTGCCATACTGGTGACAAAATAACAAAACAATATAAACAGAAAAACAAATGTAAGAAATTCCAATCACATTTATGAAATATCCCGATCAATTTTGAAATTTAAAATGTTACTAGTTTGAAAATGTTTTAATAACCATGATGACACTTTTATGACTACATTATGTTTAACTTGACTATAATGCTGTATGTATACGAAAATAAAAATAAAATGTGTATGTTATTGTAATAAGCAAAGCCACTTTATACCGTAACTTACATTAAAACGAACTTAAAGTCAAAGGAGAAATTTGGTTTTTATAAGTTTCTTTGATTTATGAAACAATAGTGTGGTATACATTTAATAACAAAAAAATTACAGTCTACTGGATCGGTTAACGAACTCACGTTGCTTAATAGCTCATCTGTTATGGATATGTATGACTAGTTGTAACGAACATATGTTTATGAATGCATAAACTGCATGCATTAGTCCTGAGATAAATTAGTCAATGTTTTTAAATTTCATAAATATCATAAACAAAAGAGGCATGGATGGTAGTAATAATTATTTAATAAAAAATACTACTACTTGTTAATAATACGAGTACGATATAAATTATGTTTAAATGAATAGGTACATTTCAAGCTCACTAATCTAATGCATTTAAAGTAAAGTTTAGCTTGTTCCTACCGTTTTTATATTATTTTCTTATGTATTTTTTAAAAATATAAACGTGCTATATAATCTTAAACTAGCTTATTAGTCAATTAGCTCAAAAGAGGGGTTTGGAGGACATGAAGGGGGGACAAATGTTTTTGCGGGAATGTGTTCGGGGTGGTTAGAAAAAAAAACTAATCTAAATTACTTAAATACTAGTGCTGCTTCCGCTAGGCAAGGGGGGAACCATTTTTTTTTAGTTTGTGACTTTTACACTGAAAACCGTGCGTCGAAATCAATTATTAGTGAGCCCCAATTAAACTGAAGATTTTGCAATACTGTATTTTTATGGACTAAAGATAGGACAGGTTAATTTTATGAATCCGTTATTCAAATTACAAAAGTAAATGTCCTGTAGTAAATTTACTTTTTAAAAGTTTTTTTCTTGAAATAGCTTACACCTTTGCTATATCGGCTCAATGCTCAAAGAACTCGTGAATTATTAATTGAGCACATTTTCATTTACTCAAAGGTAATGAGGAAATATTTTAGAAAAAGAAAGTTTGGTGTCATAGTATATAATATTAGCAAAAGATTTTTATTTAAATAACAATATAGTATCATCGTTTAATTTAGTTAACTAAGGATTGATTACACAGGGCAAGTTAAACTATTAACCAACGAGTAAAAATTCAGGCTTATCAGCAAGTACGGCATACAACTTACACAATTAAGCAGTTCATTCGACATGAATACTCATAATACTATTTGCCTCATGTGCACAAGCAAGAGTTGTAGGTGTACTTGGTTTTACCATCTAGTTTTATCAAAAACTGGCGGTGAGTAGTGTGTAAAGTTTCCAGCAGAAGAAACATGTTCCAGAGCTTTTTTAATAGCGGCAAGTGCACTGTTACGAGCTGCGAGTAAGCTGGGTTAGTAGCCTGTGAAATTGCCCTGTGTAAACGAGCCCTTGGGTTGTATTACACCTTTGATAAGTGACAAGTTTTTCAAGACCTTATCTTCAAACTCTCCTCAAATATTTTAAAACACTCAACCATCAAAACTCTCGCTTCTTCATCTCCTTCCTATGACAATTAGCTTTAAACTCCACTCTTCCTGTGTAAGCGAGTTTCTTGGCAACTCCCAATAGCTCATCAGTTTATCCACTTTCACAGTCGCTCCACACTCCCAACTAATTCGTGGGTCTCCAGTAGCCGGTCCACAAACGGCCGCCAGTAAGGGTCAGGAAGGGCGAAGCTCCTGGTCTTGACCAGGTCCAGGTTGTAACTCCCCCTGTATTCTGTGGTTTGTACCATTGTCCCCTGGAAGGTCTCTCCCCACACCACGTTGGCCAGGTACATCTCAGGGTCGTCGTCAAACTCCTCCTGCATATTTGAAAAAAAATTTAGAAATTTATACAATTAATGAATTAATTGTGATATTAGGGTGTCCAAAAAGAGGCGGTTATATTCGAATGAACGTACTAGACGCATAGAACGCGCTGCACACTTAAGACTATACAGTTGCAACAATCAAATATGTAAATCATGAGTCCCACTTGATTCCAACAAATCTGAATAATGTGGTGAAAAAAATGGTGCGTTTATCTATCTATATATAAAGTTAGGATGGATTTTAACTTTTGAGAAAACCATAAGCCGCACATCTACCAATAATTGCATACTTGAATAAAAGGTCTTGCTGTGAAAATTACCCGAAAATATCAGTTTTTCGATACACCCTCACCTAATAGGCAGGAACATCAATTAGAGGACTGTGTTTAATTACATTTAAAACATTAAAGATACACCACCTGTTTGATTTGTTTTTGATTTCGTTTGTTTGTTTACTTTTCCTGGAGTTAACCTTTTGATTTTATGTACCATAGATTTCTATACTGCATCAAGAGGAGAGTATTTTCCTGTTGACTTGGACATTGATAAAATTGATTAACATAAAGAATAAGTGCTTAATCAACCAGCAGTTTGCATCGGACGAGACAGAGAAAATGTCGAGGTACGGACAGAACAAATATTTTTAAATAGGCCTAACTATTTGCATAACAGATCAAAACAATTTTTTTACAGTGTTGCAAAGCAAACAAAATTAATGTAATGTCAAGATGTAGAACAGTGGTAAATCATATCTTAAACTAATGTCTACCAAACCTTTTTTGCCAATTTTGTTATAAAGTATTTTGTTGCTGCACGATTTTTTTCTGATTTCAGAATGAGACTCAGGGCTATTTCTTACATAACATGTAATTATTGTTACGGTCGAGATTCAAGTTTATTACGATACATGTAAAAATTGTGTTCTTTTTTGTATACAACTAACTTTAAAATCATGTTAAGCGAATATGATAAACAAATCTCCCCATAATCTTTGCCGTTTTAGCAAATATTTATGGTAACCTGTAGAAATATTGAATCGAAAGTGTTATAACCAAATCACAATTTATCTATTGTACTATTGCTTCGATATCTTTACTTAGGAACTAGTAAGAGCAACAAGTCTTAAGTGGATTTGAATTTAGAATTTAAGCAGTCATTGACGCCGGGAGGATAGATGGACTCAGATATAATTTTTTTTTTTTACAAGATTATAATGTATTATTTTTCATTTTTTTGTTGGGAACCTACCTCAGATTTGTACATCTTGATAACCATAAAACTTCTCTTGATCCTGCGTTTGAGAACATCTAGAATATCTTGAGGAACTGGAGGTGGATTGGCTTGCGTGTACGAATTGTGTGATAGAAGGAGTAGAAAATATTTCCTGGAAAAAATAACTAAACTAGAAAGTAAGCATATAGGGTCAAAGAAGACGGTTGACTTTTTATATTTGGCAGTTGATATCACGTCATTGACCTGGTGAAAGTACTAGAGGGATGTGTTGCAAGCTAAGATTCAACTAAAACGGCTGGCATTTAAAACAAACCAACGACCCAGTCATCTCCCAAATGACAATGTTCGACTATAACGAACTAGTTTCGCTAAACATAGTAGAGATGGATACAAAAAAATGATCTTAAATTCTTCTTAAACTAATCAATTGAAAAAAAGAGAATGTATTAGACTGTTCATAGACACTTCAGAAACGACTATATATGTACACATATAAAACATTGAAATGAAAAATCTCTATATGTTACAGTAAATTTCATTTTACTTTCGAGCATTAACAGGATAGGATGCAAATTTAAGTAATCTTTCAATGTAAAAATAAAGTAATACCTTATGAAGAAAGTTAGAAAAAATAATTAACCATCGGTAACATTCGGAGACTTTTGCCACCTTCTATTTTGAACTTGGTTTATAAACAGAGAATTGAATGGATTCACACTCGTTCGCAAACTGAAATATAATAAAAATAAAAATACTATAGTGTGCATTAATGGAGGTTGTCCAAAGTCACCATAAACAAAAGTCATTTAAACCTAAACGCTAAGAAGACCAAACGCGAAGTTGGGGAAGTGTTCTTCACGAGTAGGTCAACTATAACACAGTAACCGTTTTAAAATTTTGCAAATAAATACCTCTTGACCAGCTGTTCCCAAGGGTTCGTGATTTCGTAGTGAACCCCCTGAGGTTCCCACGGGATGTTACCAGGGATACCAGGAACAGAGATGATGGGGAGTCGCCGTACAGTCAGGGGTGGGGGTGGAGTATGCACTACGATATGGCGAGAGGCTCTTGTTACACCATGTTGCACGGTGAAGTGGTAGGTAGTCGCTGGGTTCAACCCATCCACCTGGATAACACAATGTCATCAGTACCTGGTCACAACTCTAACCTCAAGCTTAAAATGATCAAGGACAATTGGATAAAGTTTCGAACAACTTAAAGCTAGTGACTTTTCTTAAATCAATCGAAATCCCTTGAAATTAATCTAAATTATCACGGTTCCCTTCGAATCTAGAAGCATGGTTAAAAGTCTAAATAGATAGTGGACCTAAACGTATACATATTCATTTATGGTGGGGACGCCACCTATGTGCGTATTTTAACCAAAATGTGAGTGAAGGATGAGTTTAGAATGGAGTGTGAGGCCTTGTGCAGCTTTGTTACTGACTACAAGAACAGCTGTTTAATTAGACAGGACCATTTTATTGAAAGCCCTATGATCAGGGACAGCATGCTGGGTCCAGTTTTGAATCTTCAAGCTAATGAGCTTTCTCAGGATCGAACCGGTGACCTTTTGGATGCTAGTCGAGCACTATAACCACTGGGCCACGCAGAGAATTAAAAAGGTGTATAGTTCCTATGACAGTTTTTGAGCCATTCAGCCTTGGGGCCTTTCTCAGGTTTGTCTCTTATTGTTACTTAGCCTTTAATGCCTTCGAAAACTACGACAATGCTTCAAGCTGATACTTACCGTAAACGGTAGACTCTGGTTGGCTATTCTCACATAATCCTTCCACCTCAGGGCTTTATCTCGGTGCACTAGACTGTCGATCTCCTCCACCCGCACCCATGGCCTCATCTTGTTGTGTTTCATGAGAGGACCGCTGCATTGTAGCACTACGCTGAAGGGGGTTACTTCTACTACTTTCAGGTAATCGTTAGGGCCCGGTCCTGAAAATGTATAGACGTGAATGACAAACAAAGGTAATCGTATTACTGTTATCATACATTTGACTTTGTCAACGTAGATTTAAAGAGTTTGTACTGATTTTTTAAGAAATGGGGATCTTCAGCAATATGAACCAAGTTAAGCTCGGGGTAAGGAGGGTAGGGTTCTAGATCACTATAGAACCCGCAATGTAGGCTAGTAGTAGCAGTCATTTTTTAATGCTTAAGTAAATGAATAACCAATACATTGGAGTAGATAGTAACTGACCTTTGATTTTTCCATGTTTCCTTGAACATGCCGCAACGTTATTGTCCCCGCCACACATACACGACACAGTTCCATTTTTCGCAAGACAAACTCCTCTACACTCCACATCAGCACACACATTGACACCGTCAGGCTGGTGACTTCTCTTCACCATCTTGATCATCGAAGGCTCCAGGTTTTGCGCCAAAACGTTCAACTTGTCACGGAAGAATGTGTTCTCGGGATCATCGTTGTCCTCTATCAGCGTCCACAGTGGCTGATGGTCCATGATGGTTAGTCCGCGGACGACATCGCTGAAGAGTTTGGTGTGGCCGGAGCCGTCGTAGCGACACAGGCTCACAGCGCCCGCCCAGTCCAGAATGAAGAGGGTGTTAGTCTCGTGGTCAGCTGTAAGGCTCATCCCGCAGGTGACGTCGGAGGTTACTAGGTCAGTGACGTCATCACCGGTCAAGTCTGCACGTCTGATGATCATCAGGCTGCCACACTCCACCCAGAATATGTACCTTGGGGAATTTTGAAGATTTTAAATGGAATTTTATCATTTGTGTAGATTTGAAGTATCGATTGAAGTATTGTAAGTTATGGTTTAGGAGGTAACTGCAGAGCTTATATGACTGCTGAGAACCAGTCAATTCTGGCTTAAAAATACGCTACTAATGGGCTACTGAACCGTTTTCGGAAATATATTTTGCTCTAAACAGATTTAGTGTATGTCTTAAACGGAAATTCTCATTGAAATGAGAATAGTTTCTTCCTAATTAAATGCTAAATAGAATTCTAAAAAATGTCAGGAATGGCATCTAGTGGAATCAAATTTCAACTCCGTATTCAGAGAGGAAGGAACATGGAACATATCAATATTGGTGCATAAACTGAATAAAGGCGTTAACCGGACCTTCCTGGTGTATGTACTCAACTATGGTCCTAATTCATTTCCCTCTACAAACGTGATCGAATTCTAGGTCTTGAATCTTTTGAAAACTTCTATTTCACGCAACATATTCTCCAACATGTAAATTTGTTACGTTATCATTCACTATACTAGACATGGTATCCATTCTCACTTGTTGAACGGGTCGACTGCTATGTTAGCTGGGGAGTCCTGGCCATCAAGTATCAACACGGGTTCTCCACCATGTACAGGGGCCGCCATGATACGACTCTCGTCTGTCCAGTAGATGTTGCTATGAAGCCAGTCCACTGCTACTCCAAACGCTGTCACCCCAGCCACTACCACCTCCTTCCGTGCCATCTGTTCTGCTGGAGCCCTTGAACAGACAGAAGTCAATACTAATACATTGGTTGTCTTCGTAAAAAATGAAAAGCCTGCTAACTCAGTCCAAACACAGTTTCCACACCAATATGTAATTTGTGATTTGGCTATGATGCTATCTAACCAAAGGTCAGCGTTAGATACAACCAAGACCAAGAATCGAAGCGTTTTTTACTAAGAACGTAAAATTCATGTTATGTTTACACTAACACACAAAATAAAAGCTAGTAGGTAGAGCGTGGTACAAATGATCCAAACATTGATTGACAAGATTCTTCGTGGAAACCAACAAATTATTTAATTTCCACAAGCGTAGTGCGATATGAAAATCCGGAGGGTAGAGCCATGCATGATTTTAGGATCGGGCATACGATTGTGTGACTGGATAACATTTAGACATCCCCTTCAGTTTTGATGAACTTTGCTTTGGTCTCAAGCGGGATTGGTTGTAGTTATAGGATATGCAACTATTCGATGACCCACAAAAATGGCAGTAACCTAACAAGACACATGCCTCAATGTTTCTCTGCCATAGGATGAACGGTTCGGTAATACATTAAGAACACATACATTTTATATAGAAAATTCTTACAATATCTAATCCTTATCTTACAATGGATAATATTTTCTCTAAACCCCTACCTGTAAATAGCCTGGGCAAACAGATCACTCCAGTAAACATACTCGGACTGAACATCTACATCAAACGTCTGTATGTTTGACGAGGAATCGTTGTATAATAGGGTGTTGTCGTCTCCTTTGATCGTTATCCTGCCGAAGGTTGTTCCAGAGCTATATAGCAGATACCCTACAACAACGAATTTAAAACTTTACTCGCTAAGATGGTTATGTAGTTTACTTATGTAAAATAACCAAACAAAAAATTAAACTTTTTTTTTCATTTTAAATGAAGCATAAACTATTACTTGTTTTAAAACATAATGTAATTTTATCGCAAAATGTAGATAAATAACTTATATGATTAATATTACTAACTCGTGTTCTAAGGAAGTCTGATTATGTCAATGTGTTAAGTTTTTTATCTTTGACGTTTTCCGCTTCTTGTTTCTCTTACTCATTTGACTGCTCAAAACCTTTTTTGGCCTATGTGTTCCCCGGCGTTTGCCCCTCCAGTGTACCAACCTAGGTTTCTAGGTGTTCTAGGTTTCATTTGAAAAAAAGACGAGGTCAGCTTCCTGAACCCTAAACGCCAATAAATTTTAACCAACTATGAACAATTAAAATAATCTATATAAAATAAAATTAGAGTTTTGTCTGTACATTGCTCAGAATCATAAATGTTTACGTTATTTTTACGTTTTATACATTAAAGAAGCCGAAAAAAGTCTCATCTAAATTTCTGTCTGTCTTTCTGTCTGTCTGTAACACTGAAGATGGAATTTTACGCAATCTTCTCCGTGAAAACGAGAGTACCTATCAAGATCCAAGTTATTTTAATGTATTCACTGGATTGGTGAGAGTGTCTTTAGCCATATTAAAATATGTTCTCACTACTTTGTAAATAAAATTACGGACGTTCAAAAATGCAGTTTTGTGCGATTTTTGCCAGGTTTTCGCCCAATTGGTATGAAATAACGAACAGCTGTTCGGATCAAGATTATTTTTTCTAGCTGTCACTGATATGTTTACAAATGTTGTTTACAAATACCGCAACCATTTCCGATCACGTTTTGAAGGCAAATCATAACCAAGTGAGATTAAAAACGTGTTTCTTACATAACGGATTTAATTAATCGTAAGTGGAATAATATAGTGTAACCGTAAATGAAATTAAATAACCAGGCATCGTCCAGGTCAGGAACCAGAGATTCTTTATGTATAAAATTGTTCTTGAGTTTTCGTAACCAGAAAGAAGACCTTGAATCAGTGTTTTATAATGTTGGGAAACTTAAAATCTATTTGGCTTGAAACTGTCAGATACTGTATTTGCGAAGGTTTATATATAATAGTTTTGCCAGCATATCTGATAATATGCAAACCAACTGCTGTTCTTAATATGAGAAGGATTCAACTGACTACTATAAGATCCCGTGCGCAGAACGGGCACACATCTAGTAGAGTACTAAATAACTCTTAAAGAGAATTTGAAGGCTATTTGGAGAGTTAACAGTTTTCTAAGATTCTACCTTGTTCTTTGCAAGTTCTACCGTCATCTCTGAGGGTGTATCCATAGCGGCATACACAGGTTGTGTTCCGCTGATGATCTGCTGGCTGATGATGATGCTTATGATGACGATGACTGATGACCACACAGTCGTGTTCACACTGATGATAGGCGCACAAATTTGGCCACTGGGGCTGGACTACCTCACTCACCACTCGAATCTGACTGCTATGTTTCTAAAAAATAATTGTAATTTACTTTTCAGTGTAATGTGTATTGTATAGCACTTACCAGCCAAATACTTTTAGTAAATTTTATTGATGGTAAAGTACAAAGAGAAAGCTACAACGGCAACTACTGAGTTGGTACAACTTTTATTTTAGCATCCGAAACTAATTTCTACTGCCCTGACAGATGGATGTACTAAACCATAATTTAATTACCCAAGTGCTATAATTTTGCATTATTGTTCAAAGTTTGTATCAAGATCATAAGGGATAATGCATTACCCTTTTTTATTTCAAAACTTACTTCGTAGCTGAAAAATGACAATCTAAAAAGGTTCTCACATAAAAAATTGTATTTAAATATTTGTTATGAGTAGCAGTTTTTTAATTAATAAAACTTGTAATTTACAGTTTAAGAATTAGTTATACGGTGACAGTATATCTACACCAATAAGAGTGAGTTGCCTACTTCAATTAGGTTCTAGCTATTAGAAACTGTAGCCTATTAGCCTATTTTAAATAGGTTTTTTACAACTGTTTCATCCCTTGTTTACAATTCGACTGAAGTTAACAATTCAACTAATAGGTAACCATCTGATAATTTTCAATTCGCATTTCAAACCGTTATAAAGACAGCTCATCAGCAGCTCTGGACCTTTGATTACGCAATTCAAAGGAGAGGGAAATGCCTCACCTACTTTGTTACTTGCAATTTGTCCTTTTGCTAGATCATGACCTTTAAAATGGCACCTTGACTGTACCAATCGATTAATAAGGATGGTTAAAAAGGGATGCTATGGAGAACCCCTTATTGAATTGATAATCTTCACAATCTTTTTTGTAAGTTATCTTATTCATAAAAATAACTATATGGCTATAAAATAATAAAATATATATATGGACTTACCAAATTTGGACCAACAAGGCGAAAGTAAGGATCGAGTGAGAATATGTGATCAGTCCTGTTTCCATACACAATCGTATACTTCCTCTTCACCCATTTGCAGGAGTACGTTCCATTTATGTTTGAAAAATAGAATCCGTCTTTTGCCAAACTCAGAGACTTCGGGGGCTTACCAGGTCTCTCAAAGAGTCTTATAGCTTCATGTGGTATTTGATAGTTAGCGTTCCACAATTCACTTCCATTATTGATAACTTTGTAGAAATAAATACCACTGTATGTCACGTCAATGGCTAGAGGACTGTGTCTTGAGATGTTTTCGCTTTCGTAAAACGTTCTTTTCGAAGACCCATCTAGATTGCAAGACACGATTCGGTTACTGTTGCTCGTATTGCTCCATTCGATCCAAAACAGTTTGCTGTAGAGAGAAAGATATCTTAGTTGGTTGAAGTGGTTCCTAAATGGCATTTGTAAAGTGAGTTGTCGCTTCGGTGTATGAATGAGTATTCGGCCAATGAATAAGCGAAGGGTAAGGGATAGGGAGTTTGTATATTGTAGCTTTGTAATTAATAACACTACTAATTTATTCATGCAGAGTCACTTGTTTTATAGTAGGCCACAGTAGTTTAGGCCTATCTATGAGTTTTAAACTGCAAGAAAGGGCACAACAGTATGGATGATATACGTGACATTTTGTTTATCATTTAAGTATGGTTGAGTTTTGTAGTAACCTTGGTACCTAATAATTGAAATTACTAACCTAGAACTATTATATTTTATTTTTATCATATAAATTGAGTGCCTGAATAGCTGATCAGTTGTAGTTCTAGGTTTCAAATTTGAAAGTTGCCGGTTCGTTCCGAAGCCTGATCTTTCTAGACCTCTCTACCACTTGTCAATGGGATATCATTTTATTATGCTTCTAATTAAAATCTAACTCTAACAAAATGTGGACGACAAATAGCATCAAGGTGATGTGTTTACTCTTTCCATTTCCGAAAAAACTGCAAAACTGCAAATGGTGCCGAAAAACAAACAACTAAAGATTGAACTTACGAATCCATGGAGCTAAATGTGCATTTAAAACCACCTGCAATCCTTAAATGGGCATAATAAGTTATATTTACAATAATTCATTACTTTAAAAAAAAATAATTGAAAAATGTCATTAATTGGCAGTTGGAATATTAAAACATGTTTTATTTTATAGTTCATCTTTGAAAATGGTTTTAACAATTCGTCGTAATTACTACTCATTGACCATTGAGGTTACCTGAAACAACTATCGGATGAGTAGTCCAGTAATGAAACTAAAAATCATGTAACATATCTCATGCTTTTTACCAACTGACGATCCCATCAAGTATGCTTTACGTGCTTTAAATAATTAGCTCTCTATAGCTCAGCATAAGATATTGTTATTAACACTTCCAGCATGACCACACACAATTTCCAGACAATGGATACAAATTAATTACAAACGCTTCCCCTACACCAAATAATTTGACAGTATTTTTTTTATTCTGATAAACTACATTCCTAATACTAAAGAAGCATACCCCAGTAGAGGATCTACGACCATAGCTCCAAGATTGGTCCCGTTTTCCACTCTATGGACGACCCTCCGGCCGGTCCCATCCAGGAGCGCCGCCTCCAGACGTCCTCCTTGGTCCAGGTCGGTCCAGTAGAGGTGATGATGGACCCAGTCTACCACCAGGCTGCCTACCCGTCCTACCAAGGCTAGGGGAGTGGCTGTCTCTAGGTCGTACAGCGGGGTCCTGAGGAATTGGTGGATTATATTACAAAAGACTAGTGTACCTGTTGCTCGAAATCGAGCAATTTTCAAGTACCGGTATTATACAGAAGTTATTTTAAAACTACAGTAATAACGGTCATAATTCTCGATGAGTTTAAAAGACCCGACTAAATACTTATGTAACTAATTGAAATACTCACGCTATTTAATAGCGTTTTGAAATAATAAATGCTTCTTGTAAAAATATTTTAGAATTTTTTGGACCCGACCTTATTTTTTAGTGTTTTCTACAAATGTTTCCCATCTTAAAGCTATTACCAGTAAACATTTCTTGCATGTATTTATTTGATCTGACTTTAGGTTGGTTTACTTTACCACTGTGACAACATGAAGTGTCCATATTCTTCATGGTTTTTTTTACTTCCAAAAAGTTGCTTCCTCCTGTTTTCAATATTTCTCCTTTAAACTCAAGAAATTGTCTGTTTTTCCAACAAAACTGATTGACTGTTTAGATTTGTCTATAACCTCCTAAATATTACAAACATCAATATTTACTCCCAAAAAGCTGGTGAGTTTCTTTTTATATACAGCTGTTTTTGTTTTACAATTTGATTTCAATGTAACTCTTATGGGGAAAATGCGACCTTTGAGAGCGTCTCGTGCCCTTAAGGGTAAGACTTTTTAAATTCTAAAACCTTTATGCAATACTACGAATTGAGACGAATTATTTGACACCTCAAACGTTAAAATCGATCCAGAAATAACGGAGGAGTTTTGTTCACAAAAAACAGCCCTCACGTATTAATATAAGAGATTCCCACAAAGCCGACATACCGCTGTGTAATAGGGCTGAAGGTTTAGCGATGAAATAATAAGATAGATTTGTTACTGACTAAAATCAGCTGTTTAAAGTAACGCTATGTTTATCTTGTTAGGTTTATGGTTTGTATCTGCCAGAGAGTCATTGCCCCCAAAATTTGAGTCGGATTTCTAATGAACAAACACCGGAAAATACCTAATGCGCAAGAAGATAAACTTTTTTTAATTTTACCTCTGGGTCAAGTATTTTTTTTAACCTTTTGAGAAGGCTACGTTGGTGTATACGTCGATACCAAATTCATATCAAAATGTCGTATTTTGCTGGATTGTTTCGAACTTCGTTCACCACTTTTAAAGTTTAGAGTAATTATGTTTTTACACAGATACCGGTATATTGTTTAAAATAAAGGTTTATGAAGTAAAAATTGTAATCATTACATTTTTTTAAATAGTTCAGAAATGTTCATTCTAAAATACCCTTAAATACCTACCAGAGAAACTAAAAAAAAAAAAAAAAAAAAACTATTGCCTTGTTATATCGACGTATTAATTTTAATTTACTGTATCTGACCGGCAACAATTAATTTTCATGTTCAAAAAGAAAACTAAATAAACAAATCTGCAGAGATTTAAATACTCAGCACAACATATGTTTTACATTTGAGGGTTTTATGCAGAAAATGGCTGTAACAGGACGTCCAAGGACGTCCATTGTTCGTGCAAATTCTTTGTTTGGTGATTTAATTGCCACTGAAATAAATGGCCGAACCAGATGTTCTGGTTATTTTTATGTAAACATTAATCTATAAGTATAATACCCCCGCCGCAGCAAACCTGCCGACTAAGCGAATTTCCATTTGTCTGAATTGATTTTCAGTTAAATATATTTTAATAACATTAGGTTTAACGAGTACCTAGGTTTGCTGCTACAAGGAACCTAATAAAGTGTGTTTTTGAGTAAAATATTGATAGCTTAGTACAAAATAAATAAATTTGCCAAGTTTGATCAAAATATATCCATAAAGCAAATTACAACATTTGACAATATTCTCCATAAGAATAACATGGGAATTTTAAATTTACAATTTTTTAATTTTCTCCGTTACTAATAATCAAACAAAAATACTTTAATTTACTAAATTATTTGTTTTTTTAAGCTCTTTAAAAAGGTCTAAAGAGATATTGGGAAATTTTGTGTTTTGAGGGTCAAAAGTGAGAAAACCAAATTTTTACCCCATAAAACCCCCCCTAAAGCCCCGTTCCCATGGTCCGATCATGCTGGTTCGCGAACTCATTCAAGTTTATCTCGCTTTACACCTTTAAACCAAATTTCATCAAAATCGGACCAAAATTACTCAAGTTATCGCGTTCGCGGACGTATATATATATATATAAATCTATATATATATATATATATATATATACATATATAAAAATTTGAACGAATAGTGTTTTTGGCCTCTGGGGACATCAAAATGAAAAAGTAAATCGGTCCCGGGTCTAGGTCTTACCGTGCCACCTACGGTAATAGCTACTTCCCTATAGGGAAATTCGCTAAAAGAGGATGTTTGTATATATATTTGTTTGTTTGGCAGTGATAAACTCAGACACCGCTGAACCGATTGCCACGAAACTTGGTACATACGTGTAGAATGTCATGGAATAGGTTTATACACCATCAACTTCGTGATCCGTCCAATCGGCTCCGCCCCAGTGGCTCTGGAGTTTCCCATGTTAACCTTATGAGAAATGGAATTAATGAATCTTAACAGCTGTTTCAATTAAAAAGTTGGTTCTTTTCTATTATGTTCAATAGCATTAAAGTTACAAGGATTACCAACAGGGTGCAGCACTATTATTTCTTTTAAATTTATGACAACAGCTAATTTGCAACCAAAAGGTGAGTGAACGTAGCGAACGAACTTCAACCTGGAGGCCAGTTAGCGTAGCGAACGAGTTAACCTGAAGGCAAGTGAGCGCAGCGAACGAGCTAACCTGAAGGCAAGTGAGCGCAGCGAACGAGCTCCAACCTAAAGGTGAGTGAGCGTAGCGAACGAACTTCAACCAGGACGTGATTGAGCCGAATAGAAAGACCAAAATTATTGTTTACCCACTAGCATTAATATAAGAGCAATAATAAAGAATCGGTTATCCTTTGTACTATATGTGTTTCATTAGTTGTCGTACGTATTTTAATTTAGTTATAAACACTTCATATACAATAAGAAAATTAAACGTTACGGTACTTAAATTATAAATAGTCAAAGGCAAGACAACGTCTGCCGGGTTCAGCTAGTAATAATATAATATTGTTCAGCCAGTGACACAAATTGTTTATGTTTATGATTCATGTCACATCTTTTTCTAATATCCGTGATAGGCGCACCTGTAAATCGTAGTCTCCGTCGCCCAGTAGATCTGTTTCCAAGCCAAGTGTATGTCAAAGGTAACCACAGGACGATCGGCGCGGACCTTGGTTGTGTTAACATGGTTGTCCACATCCAACCGTAAGATTCCATGGTTGTGGGACACCAGAAGTATCTCTCCTTTAGAAGACGCTAACAACAATATACAAATTTGGATTGTTTATTAAACGCAAAAAATGACGCCAAAGTTGTCAATTTGAGTATTGATTTGGTGTTCATGAAGCTTGCTGTAATAGTGTAGTGATGTTGACTAAATAGGATCGTATCACGTAATTAGTAATTTGACAGTTCAAATACAGAATCTTTAGGAGTATTAAGGTAAAATAATGCCTACATTGTGGACCAAGGATTGTGAAATTATAAGTTAATGATATTACTTCACTATGTAAAACTTGTCTGTCTTTGTAGCTTCTGTCATCATTTATATCTAATACTTAATAAACTTATAACCGAATAAAATTGCAACTACGAACGTTATTTAGGTGTTTTTATTTGTATTTTATAGTATTTTTAAACTAACCTAGAGTTGTTCTGTAATTAATTTTGGAGTCTAAACTTTAAAAATAAAAAAAACGGGTTTTAAGCTTTTAACCACGAAATAGGCACACAAAAGGTAAGAAATCATTCTTACAAATAACATAGCAATACCTTTAACAAACACAGTTGTGAGAAACAAAAACATCCACTTAAGCAAGCACATTTGAACGCAGATCCGACTCGACTGACCAAAGCCTTGACTAAGATAGGGTCAAATCTTAAACGGACCGTGGCCAGATAGTGTGATAAGTGTAACTAACACGTCATGTGGGCAAAGCTCTTGTTGTAACTGGTTATAATAATAAACAGTGTGAGAGGTACATATACAGGGTGTCCCGTAACTCTCTGGACACTTGTATATAGCGTTATTCCTTAGTTCAAGACAAACACATTTCACCATAGGAACATGGGTCTGTGGTGTCTAGTTTACTGACTGTTGGCATTTATGTGTTTTTTACAAAAACATTAATAACTCCTAAACGGTTTGAGTTACAGCTTTGATATTTTGCAAAAATGTTATTCTTATTAAGACCTATTATCGTTAGAAATTATACCAAAAAACCGTTTCAAAATAGCGGCCATTTAAAATATTTGATGCTAAATTTCACGAAAACCGTTAACTTTCTGTAACTCAAACCGTTTAGGAGTTATTAATGTTTTTGTAAACAACACATAAATGCCAACAGTCGGTAAACTAGACACCACAGACCCATGTTCCTATGGTGAAATGTGTTTGTCTTGACCTAAGGAATAACGCTATATACAAGTGTCCAGAGAGTTACGGGACACCCCAGTGGTACTTACGTATTATACGGAGGCCACTTATTTTACAGCGCGCTGCGGCGGTTGGGTTAAGTTGGGTTATCATAAATATGTTTGTAGAACTTTCCTAGTTTCGTTATGAATCGAACTATACGAGATGAGTCATAAAAACTTATGATAACCCAACCTAACCTAACCGCCGCAGCGCGCTGTAAAATAAGTGGCCTCCGTATAATACGTAAGTACCCACCCAGTATACTGTACTTTCCCAAACTTATGACAAACACATCGTATCATAAAAAAAAAACAATCTTAACGCCATCTTGATTAAAATTAAAATAAATTGATATAGAATAAATTAATACTTCAAGTGTGGCCAAATCCTTAATTCTCACAAGGTTTATGTAAATTTTTAATGGAATTATTTTGTTTACATTGCGGTTCATGGTGATGGTAAACATGGCGTTGTCATTTAGAGGACTGAACAAAGATTCCATCACTGGCTTTCTTAGAGTAAAAATCAAGTTTCACGACGTTTATGGATCTGATATCTAATCTAAATCGACACAATGCTAACGCAGTACGATACAAGTAGAAGTAATGAAATAATTGCAAATGCCTCAATTTATCAAGCGTACCTCAGATCAAGCAGACATGGGACGGTGGCGTCGTCCTGTAATCCAGCTACTAGGAGGTCACGAATTGTGGATATTTATAGGCATGCACTGTGGGTGCAATACTCCCCAGTGTGGATTAACGTCCGCACGGGTGAGTACTACCGCAGTACTATCCTGATAATTAGACCAATTCGTAATTACCAAGGCAAAAATGTGGTTCGGATTCCACTATAAACTGTAGGTCCCTTAGTTGCCATTAGCTGTATGGGCTATTAATTAACAGCTGTGTCTAAGGAATGTCGGCCTTAGTCACTAACAAGACTACAAGATCACGCCACTCATCCTACACTCATTTCCATTCATACTTGGCTTAAAATACCTGCTTTGTATGGTCGCCATTTCATAGAACAGTATTAACAGTATTTATGGTTTCGTTTTAACAGTTATCGTAAACAACCAACAACACGAAAATGTATGCATTTTGAAGTTAATTAATTAATACTCCACCCCTTCATTCTAACAAACTTGATATTCAATTTCTAAACTCCAAAATAAGATTAAATATAAAATAGTACATTTCTTTAACATAACAAAGGGAAATAAATAGAAAAGAGGAAGTTTTGACTTTACATCTGAAGGGTAAATGAAGTTAACCAGCAAAAAAGTCCCTCTTCAAAATGGAAAGTCACTGATTGAAAGTGAACTCGGAAAAGAGGCAAACACAAAATGTGAACAGTTCAATATAACTGAAACGTTTTACATGTTTGGAGTGCTTACACGCAAACTACAGTTTGTCAGTCTGTCTATCTGTCGAGGCAAGAATTCCACTCTGTTGCCAAACTCTTCTCTTCACGATTTTCTAGACGTTCTTGTACTGTCAAACACCGAACGCATGTTAAGTATTTTACTCTGAAATCGTTTCGTTATGTTTGAGATAGATTATGGTTAAAATGTCAAAATCCCCCCATATGGTTAGAACCCTCCTACTGTTTAACATTGTCTCTAATATTATGGATGTAGAAAATAATTTAATTTTGTGCGAAATCTATCATTTTCTGCACGTACTGAATCCAATGTATTTATTGCCTTTCCGCTATACGATTTCTATCCGATCACCACAACATTTTGAAATACAATTTACTGCATGTACAGTATGCCAACATTTATGCCTAAAGTCTCTTCCATACCCAATGTTTTGTCCTAGAACGTTCTCAATCACTATATTATGACCAATATATGTATTTTACTGCTTTGGTTTCATGAATAAATAGAAACATACGATATTTATAATTTAGTACCTGGGGACCGAGCTTTGCTCTGGGGACTTTATTAGTATACTCTGAAAGTGTTCTTTGGTCAATGTCATCTGACTCGAAAATATTGTTTTGCAGTCTATTTAACTTCTGTTAAAATAATATCGTAGACTGAAATAATGAGAATAAAGATTTAATTTGTTTGAAGCCTGTAAACTGCCTAAGCTATAGAAAATACCCAGTAATTTTCACGCTGAATTAGAATAAGGCTATCAGTAGAAAGGAAATCTTCATACCTTCCTTCCCTTAAAGTATTAGTCACTGCAAGAACTTGGGTTTGCTCTCGCTCCCCAGAACCTTTCCTTTAATCTTAATTTTCCTAAAATGTAATATCATTTCCGGGAACTCAGGACTTTCTCCGACAGAAAACAATTACATTTTTGGATTTAGTGAGAATAATTCAGTAAGGGGACACATTATAAAGCAATTTTTATTAGGGTGGGTTATATTGAACTTTTGCCATAAACAATACTTCACATTTAAACTGTAGATGCATTTAAAGAATCCTATGATGATCTCTTACAGAATTTATGGTAAGGATGAAGTTCTTTATAAGAAAATTAACTGTTTTTCATTAGTTGAAAATGACTTTTCTTACTAGGTTCATACCTCGTTGTTTAGTGTGAGTAAATGGTTAAACTTTAATAAAAATTGTTTTATTCTAAGTAGGTTAAATCCATAAGCAATCGGAAAAAATATTCCATTAATTAAATTTCCTAAGGATATAAGAATTATTTAGAATCTTATATCAAACATAATACGTAAATACATTTTCGGAATGAGTACCTATATAATCCCTAAATTGATGTTTATTTGTATGTCGTATTCTCAACTATTTGATAGAATCAAAATATTTGTTTAGTGCTGAATGTTTAGTGTTAATCACCAATTTTCATCCTTTGACGCCCTAAATAATTACCATAGTACTCTATCAAGGACTAAATAGATTAGGGATTGGGCGAGTGTTTACATGAACAACATTATCAATGTAGGTTAACAACCTGGGTAACGGTTTGGTCCACTCTCAGCTAAATTGGCTGGATTATAGCTTGTTTAAGCTGTGATGCAACGAATCTTCATTTTGCAACACAGTAAAATAAACAAGGGCGTTAAAACTATTAGATTGGAATAAAGCTTATCAATACATGACAAGTTTATATTCCAACTAGCTGTAACCCGCGGGCTTTGCCCCGTTTAACTTCTTAATTTTCAAGATTATCTCGTTCGCATGGCTCAATCACGTCCTGGTTGAAGTTTGTTCGCTACGCTCACTCACCTTTAGGTTGGAGCTCGTTCGCTACGCTCACTCACCTTTAGGTTGGAGCTCGTTCGCTGCGCTCACTTGCCTTCAGGTTAGCTCGTTCGCTACGCTAACTCGCCTCCAGGTTGAAGTTCGTTCGCTACGCTCACTCACCTTTTGGTTGCAAATTAGCTGTTGTCATAAATGTAAAAGAAATAATAGTGCTGCACCCTGTGGGTAATCCTTGTAACTTTAATGGTATTGAACATCATAGAACAGAACCAACTTGTTTAATTGAAACAGCTGTTAAGATTCAACAATTCCATTTCTCATAAGGTTAACATGGGAAACTCCAGAGCCACTGGGGCGGAGCCCGAAAGGATTTTTGAAATAAGAATATGCCTATATGTTAATCGGGAATGTGAGCTATCATCATGCCAAATTTCAGCCCAATCCGACCAGTATTTTTCGAGTTTACTTTTCCCATACACACATACACACATACAGCAACCACCTCTTTTTTATAATAGTATAGATTATCTTTATCTATATATTAGGCAAGCATGTTTCTTTAAAACCTTTTTTCTCAGCTCTTGTGCATCGTAGGGAAATCTACGCATACTGTTAGAAAGATATTTTTCTGCAGGTGTGCAGAATCCCTTTATAAATTAAAATAGGCTATAAGCACAAAAATGAGTTCAAAATAAAAAAAAAAAAATTAACTTGGGTCTTATGGGTTGCCATGCTGGGAATGAAATCTATAAGTATAAAAGAGGATGTTTGTATATATATATATATTTGGCAGTGATAAACTCAGACACCGCTGAACCGATTGCCACGAAACTTGGTACATACGTGTAGAATTTCATAGAATAGGCTTATACACCATCAATTTCGTGATCCTTCCAATCGGCTCCGCCCCAGTGGCTCTGGAGTTCCATGTTAACCTTATGAGAAATGGAATTAATGAACCTTAACAGCTGTTTCAATTAAACAAGTTGGTTCTTTTCTATGATGTTCAATAGCATTAAAGTTACAAGGTTTACCAACATGGTGCAGCACTATTATTTCTTTTACATTTATGACAACAGCTAATTTGCAACCAAAAGGTGAGTGAGCATAGCGAACGAACTTCAACCTGGAGGCGAGTTAGCGTAGCGAACGAGCTAACCTGAAGGCAAGTGAGCGCAGCGAACGAGCTCCGACCTAAAGGTGAGTGAGCGTAGCGAACGAACTACAACCAGGACGTGATTGAGCCATGCGAACGAGATCATCTTGAAAATTAAGAAGTTAAACGGGGCAAAGCCCGCAGGTTACAGCTAGTGACAACTAAATATAAACATAAAACCAAAACAAATGGAAGAAATTCCAATCACATGTTTTATTTACAGCTTAGGGTGAAAATTGAGAAGCCTGTACCTTTGATTTACAACTAGACATCCTTTCCCATGTTAAAGTTGTCACCAGTTTTTTAATTAAATTCGAAGAAGTTGGTGTAAGCCACCAACAGATTTCGCTGATCTAAATTACTAATTTCTGTCGAATACACGATGATTTTTACCAAGTCTACTTTTGGAATGACTTATTATAGGCTATAGCAACTGTTATGATCCATCATCTTTGTCAGCAACAAAAAATAAGGTAGAAAATATAATTTTAGACACGCATTCTGTATGTAACTAAACAAAATCTAATCCAAACAAACTCACATAATATAACCACACGTTTCTTCAATCTAACCAGTAATACAATAACCATTCCAGCTTGGGTGAATTCTGACAGTTGTAAACATGTATATATTCCAATGCCTTGTTAGTATTAAGAACAGCATGAATGATTTACATGTAACTAGTTCAGTGCACAATCATGACACTAGGTTTAGTGCTAAGCTTGTCATTCCTCGGTCCAGGACTGATAAAAGAGCTAGGTCATACCCTGTTTCAGGAATAAAACTGTTCTATAAATAAAATCATCTTCCTGGTCATGTGAGAAATCTGGAAAGAAAGAACTTCCAAACCGCAATATTAGACTGGCTGATTGAAAATCCTTTTTTCAAATTTAAAGAGTTTTTTGAAACTGTAGTTAGTTAAGTAAGTTTTCCTCTGAACAGCCTGTTTGCTGTTTTTGCATAGTGTATGCATTTTGCATGAACTGCATTTGTTTGCTTTATTGTATCATTTTGTGCATGGTTTTGAACATATTTTTTTCACATGGTTGGTTTTGATCGATTTTTGCTTGGTTTGATTTTTAACTCTTGAAATTTATTTTATTTTATGCTTGTACATTATGCTTGTACACTGACATAGCCTGTAACAATGTTGTTGATTGGCCAAATAAATTCATTGTATTCATTATTCATTGTATTGTATTCACACAAGAAATATTAACCTTTTAACATAATAACTAGCCCTATCTGATATAGTCTAGTCTTTAATCGAAGCTTCATCTTCTTTACACACACAAATCATTTACAGCTGGTATCATTATAGATGCGCCGAGGGTCTAAGGTTTGTATTCATTGGTATAAAGCAGTTCTTTTCCTCCCTAGGGAGTATAAAGTGTTTTTAGTCCCTAGGGAGTAAAAGTCAGCTTTTGTAATCTTTGATTGTAATCATCGTGTATGTAGAGATTTTTTCAATCGGTTGTAGCTTATTGTTGCATTACTGTCAATAGTTTGACTTATCGATAATATACTATACACAAAAGTAATAGACGAAATTATTGAATCACTTACCAGCTAAACAGTGTTTTTTGCATTGGCAAATAAGTTGGAAGTCGTTTTAAGAAGTTACCTTTGCATTAAAATACTGGTACTTTATTAAAAAGTATGTACAGTTTAATTGTGTCAGATTATTAACCAAAACTTGTGTAAAACTGGATTATTGTCGTTAAAAATAATTGTAAACTATAACAAAAATAATACTTTTTTGGAAAAGATAGTAAAAAAATGATATTGAGGAGGTCGGAAAACTATTCGACGGAACACTACTGTAGTACTAAAAAAGGTTTTTAATGTTTGGTTTCAATCTGTTTAAAAGTTACTAAACTGGGCAAATGATAGATTCTTTGACCAAAGCTATTGTTTACGATTGAAACTCTCTAGCCTATTTACACTTTACCCGCTACCATTGTCTCTGCATTACAAACCTCAGTCATTTAGTAATGAATGTCAGCATTATACTGTATATGTTTCTCGTTGTAAAAAACATATGTCTGACCTTACCTCGTACCCAACGGCGTATTCAATGGATTCCAATTCTTAAACACACAAAGCGAAGCGTACGCCTACATGTCATTTACAGGGCTGAAAGTTCAGAAGTTGTATGCCATTTTGTTCAAAAAGGTTGTTGATAATTGGTCAGGAGCCTTGTGTTGGGTACGAAGGAACTACGGAGTTTGGTTTGATTTTTACGGAAAAAGAGCCCTTACTAAAAAAACCCTTTAGGTAACTTAAAAATTACTTGCCTAATATATGCTTTAAGTTTAAGCTTTTTAACATCTGTGATAACATGGGTCATGACAGATGTGACAACATAAATTAGAGTTTTGTTAGTGGTTTTTCTAATAATAATTCAAGTAGGCCCTAACAGTTTGTTTCTATGATAAAAGGTTAGGCTATTGTTTGTAGCTTACCGGATACTTGCAAAGCCAAATGTACATCTATATAGCCTGTAATACGCCTACACAAAATTTGTCGATTGAACTCTACTGCCATTTGATATACAATTTTGACCATTGGTTCTCGTATCTTTGGAAAGAGCATGTCCCGTAGGTGTGCAAACTGTTAGTTTCAATCTTAGTCGTATTAGAAACACATTCGAACCTGTACAGGCGATTACATAGGTGACATAGATTTTATCAAATCATAAAAAAGGGTGGTTTACTAATTTGTTGGTTATTGTAAATTCTCCCAATAAATTAAATACAAATTTTTAAGTTTTAAGATTTTCAGTGCCACATTAACAAATAACTTTATTTCGCCGTCATTTACCCCCCCCCCCCCCCCTTCCATACGAATCTTCCATCTTCCCACGAATGTGCGTCTACATGCATAAACTTTGACAAATTTCATCACAATCTGAGCGTTATCATGCTCATGTTATTGCAATGGCCACAGTTTTGGTCTTCGGGGACCCTAAAATTAAAATTACATTAGGTATGGTCATAAATAAGTTTAATTAAAAATCTTCTGAAATCTTATTTATTGTGGTTGTCAAAAATAGTTTACAGCTCAGTTTTAGTATTTCTTACACCGACATATGTTATCTATAATTATAGAGTACCAGATATTGTGGGAGTGGAAAAGAGTACAGGGTGAGTTGGCTGGGCCACATTCAATGCAGAACTGAGAGAAGGATGTAAAACAGGTGCTAAGGGGTACTCTGGAGGGCAGGAGACCAGTGGGAAGACCAAGGATGCGATAAATTGACAAGGTTACGAATGATCTAAAAAGAATGGGAGCAGACCTGGAGCTGGCAGAAGACAGAGGATCCTGGAGGCACATTGTTGGCGCGGCCAAAGACCGCCTAGATTTCTTTTGGTGACGGAATTAAAAGATAGAAAGAATTGACCGACATGTGTGGTCCTCCACCGTGTACCTGCCGTCTTTTACATAAGTATCCACACATTTGAGGCCAAAATTACATGCAAAGTAATGATCACCAAGGTCACCTCCACTTGCTGGTTGTTGGCACATGTAGCAAGGTTGTCCCCACTGTCCTTCTGTGTAGCTGTTGGCTCTTTTCTCGTATCCCCACTTACATGCCCAACAGAACGAGCCTGGAACTACAGACTTTATATAATTGTGAACTCTATATCATTTGTAAATCCAGCCAAGCAAATAAAAATATTCTAATTTTGCAGGATTTTGCAGCGAGGGGTATTTCTGTAAAAGTTAATAGCGTAGTAAAAGCTAAATAATTATACCAAGTTTGAGTGAAATATCTATATATTAATAGGCAAGAATGCTTCTTTAAAACCTTTTTTCTCAGCTTGTGTACATCACAAAGGAAATCTACCCATACTGTTTGAAAAAAAATGTTATGTATATGTGCAAAATCCTCTTATAAATAAAATAGTTTCAAAAATAAGCACAACAAATTTATTTAACATTTTTAAAAATTAACAGGGTTCTTATGGGGTTCCATGCTGGTGACAAAATAACAACAAAATATAAACAGAAGATTTAAACAAATAAAAGAAATTCCAATTACATGTTTTATTTACAGTTTTGGGGTAAAAATAGAGAAGTCTGTGCATTGCATATTTTTGGTTGAGTTTTCAATCAGTGGACGACCTCTATTATTTATGAAAAAGCATTGATTTAGATTAGTTTGCTTGGAATTAGCAAAATTATGACAGTGATGGAGTTTGTACTTTTTAAAGGTTGAAAAAGCCATTTTGTATTTTTACATTATTCTTTATTTTATTCTCTTTATAACTATATGTATCACTCTATATGTAAAATAAATCTTATGGATAACAGCAATAAAAAAACATACGTGACACAATATTTACGACACTATTTTGCATTGTGGATTTCGACACACGAATATTTTCGAGTGATACACATTTGCTACAGTAAAGCTAGTAGTATATACAGGGTTAGTGTGGAGACCCCCTGTTATTTTTTTAATGGCCCATACTAGAAAAACTAAACTCGGCACACCTTTATGGCATGTTATGAAGTACTTTTTGGGCATAACCGTCACTTGGTGTACATCCCCAAAATGGGGGATTTTAGGGGAAACTCAAAACTTTCAAATACAAAGACCTATCGAGTGACCCCTCATTTTGAAGTTCCTGGTAAAAGAAAACCAAAAACGCAAACTAGAGGTCTTCATCTCAATCCATTAAAAAATGGCAGCCAATTGAAATTCTCAGAATTTGAATTTAACTTGCAGCTTGCCAAGTCTGGAGACCCCCTGTAAATTTTGTAGCTGCTCACACTAGGAAAACTAAACTCTACACACCTTTTTGGCATGTTATGAAGTATCTTTTAAGCCTAATAGCCACTTGCTTACCAAACCCAAAATGGGGGATTTTGGGGGAAACTCAAAAGTTTTAAAAGATAAGCCCCATCAAGTGACCCCTCATGTTGAAGGTCCTGGTAAAAGAAAACTAACAATGGAAACTAGAGGTTTCTATCTCAATCCAGTAAAAAATGGAAGCTGATTGAAATCTTTAGAAATCGGAAATAACTTGCAATTTTATATTCAATTGACTGCCATATTTTACTGTGTTAAGATAGAGACCTATAGTTTGCGTTGTTAGTTTTCTTGTATTATGACCTTCTAAATGAGGGGTCACTCGATAGGGCTTATCATTTAAAATTTTTGAGTTTCCCCCAAAATCCCCCATTTTGGGTTTGGGAACTTATGAGAATTTCAATTGGCTGCCATTTTGTACTGAACTGAGATAGAGACCTCTAGTTCGCGTTGTTGGTCATCTTTTACCAGGACCTTCAAAATGAGGGGTCACTCGATGGGTCTTTGTATTTGAAATTTTTTAGTTTCCCCCGAAATCCCCCATTTTGGGGATGAACCCCAAGTGGTGGTTGTGCCCAAAAAGTACTTCATAACATGCCATAATGGTTGTGCCAGGCTTAGTTTTTCTAGTATGGGCCGTTAAAAAAATAACAGGGGGTCTCCACACTTTTTACTAACCCTGTATATTTTAATTTCATTTGTGGATTTTGGTATACAGCTTATTGGAAAACAGCTGGGCTTCTGCTGTTACTGCTAACTTACGGGTGTTGTAGAGTGAAAATTAAGGTCTACCACTTGGGGTACTCAGAGATATGAGATTTTAATTTGCGTCAATGATCTGCCAAAAACATATAAATAACTGTATGACGAGGAACTAATTATTACAGTCACTGAAGCTCTTATTGCTATTGGGAAATGGTTTGAGATAAACTGTGTTGAGATAGAGACCCCTAGTTTGCATTGTTAGTTTTCTTTTATCACGACCTTCAAAATTAGGCGTCACTCTATGGGGCTTAACATTTAACATTTTTGAGTTTCCCCCAAAATTCCCAATTTTGAGTTTGGGAACCAAGTAGCAATTAGGCTCAAAGAGTACTTAATAACATGTTATAAAGGTGTGTAGAGTTTAGTTTTCCTAGTGTGAGCCCTTACAAAATTTACAGGGGGTCTCCAGACTTGGAGAGTTGTAAGTTAAATTTAACTTCTGAGAATTTAAATTGGCTGCCATTTTTTACTGGATTGAGATAGAGATCTTTAGTTTTACACTGTTGGTTTTCTTTTACCAGGATCTTCAAAATAAGGTTTCACTTGGGTCTTACCATTTGGAATTTTTGAGTTTCCCCCAAAATCCCCCATTTTGGGGGGTACACCCCCAATTACTGTCGTGCCATATCAAAAGCTAAAATAATAGACTTGAAAGGAATTTGACTCACTAAGAGTTTGTTATTCTAAGACATTTTGTTAATAGTCTGCTGTTAATAATTAAATAAAGTGGAAGGGTTTATTGTATTGCGTATAGTTATTCTGTAATTTATCATTACAGATTACTTATCTTAATTTACTATATTTGTGATGTTAGTGGAGTAATCCTTAATTACAAACATATTCTGAAAGTACTTACACATTAGAAGCAGGAGAACCACTTTGACCAAGTACATGATGAGGTGTTCGTACAGCAGCTTTTGATAAAATGATCGGTGCAAGAGGCTTCTGGCAAAAATTACACTAATTAGATGTGAATTTTTAGACTTAATTAATGTAACCTGCCTGTGTTATAATGATGATTGCTGCCATTAAGCTGCAGCCATTAACCAATAGCGTGAAAACTTTAACACACTTCGTAACCAGTTTGAGAAATTATTGATCGGATAACAGCACTAATACTGTATATATATTTTTTTAGTTAATAATTTAACTTAATATTTAACATTCCGTCGAGTTCAGTTATTACAGTATGGTCCACGAGAGCTGAGTTTGGAGCCTATTTACATAGGTTTTTTTAGCGAATGGCATAATTACCCAATATAATACAAAGTATTTTGTGTAACTAGCGGGCGAAGTGTCACTTTGCTGCACATGAGAGAAATGTTTAAGCACGAGCCGAGTGTGTAAAGTTTCTCGAATGCAGCAAAGGCAGTTTGCACTTGCGTTACAAATTATATTTTTCCTACAGTTACTATATATAAATAATTAAAAAATTTCAATCACTGTACAACACGTTTTTAGGTTAGGTTAAATGTAAATATTGAACGAAATGGGAAACGCTGCACCAGCTGATCGTAGTCGTAACTTATTTTCAAGTGTACATGTACACCCTACATGCCCTAAGTGCCCTAAGTGCCTAAGTTGCCCTAAGTGTACGCGACCTTCTACAGAGCTTTGCTCCTCAGCTCGCGCATGCACTGCACATAGACTTGATGAAAATGGGGCAAGAGCTAGAGCTCTAGACTGAGGTTATGTTATTGTTTATGTTGTGTTGCGTGTGAAAACAAAGAACGCTTTCATCTAAATATTATCTATCCATATATATAAAAGGCAAAGCCCTCACTGACTCACTGACTGACTGACTCACTCACTCACTCATCACTAATTCTCCCACTTCCCATTTACCTAGGAGGCTGAAATTTGGTACACTGATTCTTTATGCATTACATAGAAAAACTAAGTAGTTTTTATTCTGATCGGACTCTCGGGCTCCGCCCCAGTGGCTCTGGAGTTTCCCATGTTAACCTTATGATTCTTCATATTTAAAAGGAATTAATAAATCTTAACAGCTGTTTCAATTAAACAAGTTGGTTTTATTCTATGATGTTCAATAGCATTAAAGTTGCAAGGATTACCAACAGGATGCAGCACTATTATTTTTTAAATTTATGGCAACAGCTAATTTGCAACCAAAAGGTGAGTGAGCGTAGCGAACGAACTTCAACCTGGAGGCGGGTTAGCGTAGCGAACGAGCCAACCTGAAGGTAAGTGAGCGCAGCGAACGAGCTCCAACCTAAAGGTGAGTGAGCGTAGCGAACGAACTTCAACCAGGACGTGATTGAGCCATGCGATACTTATGAAGTTAAACGGGGCAAAGCCAGCTATACAGCTAGTATCTATATATTTTTAACATAGTTCTTTGACGTTGCCTAATGTAATTTATTACTGAATTGTATAATACCTCTTTTGAATCTTTTTGCGTTGCTTTTGATTTGAAAATCGTTCCGTGTTTGATCAGTGATATTGGTTACTCGGTTATTCCCAATTTGTTTAACTTTGCTATGAATTTGAAAACTTGTTTCCCTTGTAAAGCTAAAGCTATTAATAGTTAAACTAAAACATCATTAAAATACTAATAAGATATCATATCAATATTTTTTGGCAAAACATCATGGCAATGCCTCATAGATGTATAAAGTTTTTTTTTAGTTTGATCATTGGATATAAAATATAGACTAACACGATTTATATTTGGGTGAAATTTAATTGCGAAGCATTTGTTTTAGCTTGGAACTGTCAGATATTGTATTTGCGAATGTTTATGTATATTCCTATAATAGTTTTGCCAGCATATCTGGTAAAATGCTCCCGTAATATGCAAACCAACTGCCGTTCTGAATATAAGAAGGTTTCAACTTGCTACAAGATCCCCGTCCGTAGAACACACAGCTAGTTTACAATAAATTATTAATACGACTAACATTCATAGATAACTATTCAACTTCAACAATTCATATTAGCTGATCGGCAATGAAGTAAAGAAAACTGGGATGAAATCATTTAAGCTGGTCTCACAGCAGTTGTAAACCGGTAACGAAATTGAATACGTTTGCCTCAAGTCTCTGTTAATTTTTAAATGACTAAGAAATGTGTGAAATTTAATATTTTTCAACTTGTTCAGCTTAATTTATGTGTTTACTGTGGACAGTAATGACAATCCTGTGCTACAAAATGACTATAAAGACATTTTTACTTGGCAAAACTAGATTTAGTTTCGGCAAAATAGATTATAAATAGACTAAGGGTAGAAATTTTGTTAAGTTTTTAGTTTTCTGCGAAATTTTTGAGTGTCAAAACATCTTTAGATGAACCCAATATTTTTAGCTGAAACCGTTAAATGCCGTAGGTTTGAATTTAAAATGGCCGCCAGTCAACGTTAAGTGGATAATGATTGATAATTTATGATGCTAACGCAAATGTAGAACATTTGGCAATTACTGGATGTTTTTCAGTTTCATGTCAGGGGCACGTTGTAAGGTTGACAGTCACGTTGTACACATTCGAATGATACAACCCTAATATTCGATCAAATATATACAAATTAACAATAATCATTTAATGTTAAAACAGGAATGAGTTACTATGAGACTACGCCCTAAAACAATATTAGCATCTATTTATCTATAGGTAACTTACAACAAATAATATGAGTTGAAACAAATACATAGTCTGCAGTATTTTTCTAAATACATAGTGTGCCATTAGTAAATACAACGAATTTAGGGATAGGGTTTTTTATCTGAATAAAACGAAATCAAGGCCAAAAATTGCTTCCCCAAAAATGCTTGGTTTTATTGTCTTGCCAATTTACATCTTTTAAACTATTAAATATATCTTGATGGAATTTGGTTTAAATTTAAATATCAATAAACTATCTGGGAAAGAATAAACGAAACGAGGTGTTCTCTGACTAGCTTGGTCAATTTTACAACTAAAAATCGTAATAGTCGTTTATTTCTGTCTATTTAGTCTGATTTGTTTAGTTGTCATGTCGGTTGTTACGGCATTTCAAGTGAACGAAAATATACTGATTATTAGAGATTCTAGATTTACAAGAGGGTTTAGTTTAAAAGACAATTTTCGAGAGTTTACTACTTAGATTATTTAGGCCTATGCAAAATAAATTAATTAAATAACTACAAACTCAAATGAGCAAAAACTTATACTTTGAATCTCCTTATTATTGCATGTTGATTTATTTGTGAACCATACCAAAGTATGAAAGTGAAAACCAAAGTTAAACACGAAACCGAGCACAATGGTCTGAGCGGCCATGGGGTAAAAATTGGGGTTTCTAAATTTGACCCTCAAAACATAACATTCACAATTTCTCTTTAAACCTTTTTAAATAACTTAAAAAAACAATTAATCTAAATAAATAAAATTAGAGTTTTGTCTGTGCATTGCTCAGAATTATATACTTTGTTGTTATTTTTACGTATTACACATTAAAGAAGCCGAAACAAGTCTTATCTCAATTTCTGTCTGCCACGGCCCAGAAGACATTTTACGCGGCCTTCTTCTGAAAAACGAAAGCATCGATCGGGATTCAAATAAAATTTTGTATTCACTGGATTTGCGAGAGTGTCTTTAGCCATTAAAATATGGTCTCACTACTTTTGAAATAAAATTACGGACGTTCGAAACCCCAATTTTGTGCGATTTTTGTCAAGTTTTCTCCTTATACGACATTGTGAAATACCAATAATCTGTTTGTAGAATACGAACAGCTGTTTGGATAAAATAGTTATTTGTGCAACTAGTGAGCAAACTGAGATCTCGCCTACGGCTCGTGAGTAAGGATTTCTCTCGAGTGAGGCAATTGCACTTTGCACTCGAGTTGCACATAATATTTTTCCTACAGTTACCATAAAACAAATAAATTGGTAAAGAAACGTGCGGTCACGCTGCAAATCTGGAGTGAGACAAAGTATTTAGAGTGAGACAATGTTAACATTGTCTCACTTATGAGCGAATTTGCCACTTTGCTTTCTCAAATCAGTGAGAGAACATGTACATTGTTAGGTAACTGTAGGAAAATTATTATTAGATGTAGAAAATGTTACTAGGTGCACGCTTATTCTTCCCGTGTGTGGACGAATTAATAAGGCTGAGCTGGTTTAAGGCGACCAGACTACACCGTAGTACTCTAGGTTGGAGCATCGACATATAAAACAGTTTTATATGTCGATGGGTTGGAGCACAAAAGACTACACTGGGTCGAGCAGGCATGCATGCTCAATGCTCAAACAGTGTCTTGCAGAGCATGAGATCATTTCGAGCATGCCTGGGGCCTTGGTGCAGATGTGGTGAATGTGTGGTCATAACTTAAATGACAAGTCAACAAAACACTATGGCCTCTGCTAGTTAGACGCCCAGAACAGGCTGCCATATAGGAAATATTCAGTATCCAGAATAAAAATATTATGATAAAATTTATCAACTTATTCTTGGTGAGATTAACATCATAATATCTTTGAACTTGGGACAAAACTTAGCTGAGAACATCATTATCAACAAACTATAGAAAAGGGATTTTGACAACTCTCTTTATGACATTAATTAATATGGAGTTCAGAAAATATCTAAATTGTTGTGTTGTTCTTGTTAGTTTCAAGCAAGATTAAAGTGTCGGCTAAAAGCTAGGCCATATTACTCTCTAAAGGAGTTCTTCATTGAATTTTCAGGTTAAATCTCATACAACCCCCTATGAAAGTATGTTCTCATGGTCTAGCTTGGATACTTTGTGTAAATAAATTATATTAGATATGTGTTCACTCTCTTTTATACAATCATATCAAAACTGGGGTTTTATAAACCATAGTCAATAAAAATTTCATAGGATACAATTTTTTCTATATACTGCCATCGTAACCCTTCATCGGGGAAGACACAATATGTATACTAACTTTTTTAAAGCTCTTTTGAACACATCCACTAAA